CCTGGCATAGCCTGTCAGTGTCCTCACTCGCTATGTGGCCCCTGGGCGCTTCACTGACCTTCACTGGAAGGCGGCGAAGCGGGTACTGTGTTATCTCCAGGGCACCAAGTCTCACGTTCTCACACTCGGTGGGCTCTCCCCTCCTCGACTGGAAGATTACACTGACTCCTCTTGGGCCGATGACCAGACCGACCGACGCTCCTCTCAGGGGTACTGCTTCACCCTTGGGAGCAGAATTGTCAGTTGGCGCTCCACCAGGTCGTCAGCAGTCTCCCTCTCCTCTTGTGAGGCAGAGCTCTACGCTGGCACCATGGCTGCTCAAGAGGCCCGTTGGCTCACCTTCCTACTCCAGGATCTTGGCTACCCTCAGTCCACCCCCACCCTCTGGTGTGACAACCAGAATACTATCCACCTCTCCCAAGACCCTGTGTATCACACTCGCACCAAGCACATCGAACTTCGGCATTTCTTCATCCGTGACCTTGTCCAGTGGGAGTAGCTGAACGTGGAGTACGTTGCATCTGACAGCAACCTGGCTGATCTGTTCACCAAGCCCCTTGGGAAAGTTCCTCACCATCGTCTCCTTGGCGCCATGGGGCTCTGTGCTCCACCTTCTCTGCCCTGAGTTCGATTGCCGCCTATGGGGGGGTGTTAGTGTTAGCCCTCAATCTCACAGTTTGTACTTTATATTTCCTATATCCTAGAGTAGTGTAGTTTGCACTTTTTGTTTGGTTGGGTGTACACCTACATCCCAACCAAACCCAAATGTAATCTCCAAGCAATCTCCAACCCACCAATTGGAGATTGCCTTGGGATTACCCCCAATCCCTAGGGATTGCCCCCGATTCCTTTCCCCATCCATCCCCTACCCTTCTTGGATGTACTTAAAGAGCTTCAAGCTCATTACTAATGTATCAGTTCTAAGCCTAAGTTGTGACAAGTTGCTCTCGAGCTGCTACCTGGAATACGGATTTGTAATCACGCAGTTGAAGCATTGCTTGCTTTACTTTAGGTTGATTTAGGCCGTCCATAAACATCATTCTCATCTCAGTAAGAATTGTGTTCATCCGCTCGTGGCCCATGTTCGGTGCCGGCAGACGCTTGAGGTCAACCATGTGGCCTACCTTGGGACATACTTGAGGGGGGTTGTTATGCCAAGTACTCTGCATGGACATCAAATACGTCCCGAAGAATATGACCACACATACAGACTGAAAGGTGGAGTTGAGCGTTCAACTCTCACCAGAGGCGGTTTGCTGTGCATATTTGCCAATTACAACCCGCGTACCAAATTGTTAGAAGTTAGGAATGTTGGCCTGGATCTTGGTTGCCAGGGTCACACTCAACCGAACTTAGGAAGGCTGAACCAAATTGGGGGTTATTGGCCCGCGACATTGTAGATAATAGGAGTAGGCTTGAGCCTTAGTTGGTACTTTACGTTTTTTAAGGTCAAGAAAAGCGTAAACATACGTTGATTTTACCTTTACGTTTTCTTACGCGTAATATTACGTAAAGTTGCACGGGCAGGGCAAAAAAGTTTTTTTTCGTCTGCGAAATGGAAAAATCTGACTGATCTGAGGTGGGAGAGGCTGTGACATGTCGGTGTAGATTTGGGGCATCTTTAAGTTGACGTAATAATGTCTAACATGCTTGGGCATAGAAGAACCACTCTAGTGATTGATTAGGCGCTTCCCATGCAGCCACTCTAGTGATTAGACTGATTTTGTATCTTTCCGGGCAGTCAGAAATGTTTCTGGCTGACTGTAAATGTAAAGCTATTTTGGTCCCACGTAAGTAAACGTACACGTAAACCCCCGTAAACGTGAAATGCCAACTAAGGCTTGAGCATCACGGCGAACATATTTGACGCGAACCCAACATTTTTTTGGCCGACCGAAAGTGTTCGGGGCGAACATGTTCGTGTTCACCCGAAAACTTTAGTGCTCGTTCCGTCGCGGCATTTTCGAGCTGCGGCGAACACCAAACCTTTTTAGGCTGACGATTTCACTTGTCAACCTCAATTTTGAGTTTGATTCAGCAAAACACACCCACCACAACATAGACTCTTAGTCAAGGATAAAAAATACGGTTGTCGTATTATACGGGCCGTTTTTTACGGTCGTATTTTACGGTCAATTTTCAAAATTTCGGCCGTTTTTTTGTTAGAGTTTTTTTCTCCGCAAAAAAATAATAATCAAACTTCAGACTTGCTACCATCCACTTCTAGGGATGTGAACATCAAAGAAATTGCTAATTATCGGGCCTAAAAAGCCGCTCCCCCCCCCAAACTCAGACTATTATAAGCGGCCCCGCTTGTGCGGCGATTTCGCCTGCCGATCTGCGCATACCGGCGATTTCGCCCGCCGATCTGCGCAGATCGGCGATTTCGCCCATAGCTCTGCACAGATCGGCGATTTCGCTGGTCAATTTGAATTCGCCACGAACTGAGAACCCAAATTCAGGCACCCCTTCCTCCCCGTCAAATTGTTGGAACTCGATGTCCCAACCAATTCGTCGCCACTTACCACTTGTCACCGCACTGGATCTACAAGACCCAAACCCCCATACACTTTCACAGATCTCGACATTGGCCTCAGCCCAACCCTAGAATATTACAGATGGCCACGGAACCTGTCTGAGCTTCTGTGGGGATGTTCCTGAGCCCCACGGAAACTCCAAAATCTCGTTTGAAAAATTCGGCCGTAAAAAACGACCGTATTTTTGAACGAACCTAAAAATGCAAGGTCTGGCCGTATTTTACCGTTTAATACGACCGTAAAATACGATACCGTATTTTACGGTAAATTTTCAAAAATTCGGTCGTATTTTTGAACCTTGCTCTTAGTGCCACCCCTAATCCTTTCTTAGACTCAAACTATATGGGTTTGCACAACCTTTTACTTCTGTCCTAGACTAGTTTGTGATAGGCGTCATTAACATTGAGGGCATTTTAGGGAAAAAAAAAGCGGGAAACCCAAATTCCACACACCACCATATTATCTCACCTTGCTGAACTCGAAGCCCTTATTATAGTAGCGCTTTTCGCGTATCTCGGTCTAATTAGTAGGACAAGGCTGCCGTTTCTCACGTCCCGGGTCAGTTTAGGCACTCGACCCCGTCACGCCCTCTCCAGGGTGGTGTAGGGGTCGGGCCAGCCACACCCGGGGCGTCTTTATTGTACGCTGGTGCAGTGGACCGAGGCCCACTGTTGACAGGCGCACGACAACCACTAAGGATAGTTGTAGTGAGGAGGAGGAGGGGGGGGAGGAGGAGGAGGAGGAGGAGGAGGAGGAGGAGGAGGAGGAGGAGGAGGAGGAGGAGGAGGAGGAGGAGGATAATGAGGAGGGGGAGGAGGAGGAGGAGGAGGACGAGGAGGAGGAGGAGGAGGAGGAGGAGGAGGAGGAGGAGGAGGAGGAGGAAGAGGAGGAGGAGGAGGAGGAGGAGGAGGAGAGCAGGGATGACAGTGAGCCAGAATGGCGACCCTACTCTCACGGCCTTGGAGGAAGACCAGTTTCTTCTTTGTCACGGTCGACTTATGGCTCGCGTCTCGGCCAGTCAGGCGGTGTGAGGAGGGGGGGAAGGTGGCATCAGGATGACGAGGCCAGCATGTACTTGGCAGATGTGTCGTCGCTGGAGTACTGGCACCTTGCTGAGAACATGACGACGCTGTGGCGGACAATCTTGCTATCCCTGCCATGTCTGCTGCCAGCGAGCGTGAGTTCTCTGCAACCTCAACTCCTGAGTAACACACGCTCGAAAGCCGATAATAAAGACAGGTTGCAGAGGATCGGCGAGGAGCGCAGACAGAAGGGAGAACCATCACCAGAGCTTGCTCTCGAGGGAGAGGGGCTGGAGCCGGAGGATGCGGTGGAGGAGGCGGATGCTGCAGTGGATGGAGACACAGAAAGTTGGTGCTGCTAGCTCAGCCGTGCTGTAGGATTCTGATGCTTGCATGACATTTTATGCCACGTATGTCTTTCAACACTGTGATGCGATTTCCATGAGGATTCATACCTTGCACTATCCGTCTATGACCTGTTGTTGTTGTTGCACTATCCGTCTATGACCTGTTGTTGTATGCTGTATAACAAACGCCCAACAGGCCTAACACCGCCCTAGGAACACCAAAAAGGAATACTCTGGTTGATGGGACTAAAGTGACGGCTGATGACAGGCTGATAACATGTTCGTGCTCTGGGCGAAGATGAAGGTTTACGCCGTCAAAGGCGAAAGTGTACGGGTCACCTAGGTGGCATGTTCGCCCTGGGCGAACACGAACTTGTTCGTGTTCTCACCCTGCTCATGCCTAGGCTGACTTGAGTCAAAGAGTGCGACTCGTAAGGGTTGGCTCTACCTGGAACTGTGTTGTTTCATGTCGGTTAACGTGAGCGCATGTAAAGTTCAGTAATGAGTCATTACAAATTACAACAGATTGCTGGCGCTAATATAAAAGCAAATCGCTTGGCGGTTCCCTGAATCTGATTTGAAAAACAATTGAGCTGAATCTGTTAAACTAAGGAAAAACAATTAAAGAAAAACTCGATTGCTTGGCGCTAAAGCAAAGGCAGACCCAAGCAGGTTTGTCACGAACATCTCAAACATCTTGGAAAGCACCTCCCAAAACCGGGACGTTTGATCTTCAATCATCTTGGAGTTTATTTGGCTTCTGAACTTTCAATATGGTCACAATTGTTTCTAGTTTTGTTTCGGGATTTTTTAAGGTTGGAAAATTCTGGGGCTTTTGAGGGTTTCATAAAAAGACGCAATTAGCGTGCACATTCTAGCAATCCAAGCAAGCCTCTACAGGACAGAACCGTAGGACGAGATGATGGTTTGCGTAAGGTGATGGTGACATGTAGGGGACGGAGGACTTGACATGAGAGGATAAAAAGGCGCGAGCATCACATTTAACTATGGGACAGTAATAGCATGATAAATGAAAGTGGAGAGGTGGAGAGAAAAGAAAAAAAAACTGATTAGCGTTGAACTAAGGGTCTTACAACGTCTGTAGTTTTTTCAAATTGCTGATTCCAGTTGCAATCGAGCCAGTGATCTGATTTTCCTGAATGCTTCTGTCAAGATGAACACACACTATCCATGCAATTCGTTTGTGCCAGAAGGAAAAGGTTCATGCCTTTGCAGTATGTGCAAATGATTGCAGGAGATAGAAGGGGGTGGGTGTGAGGAGGGGGGTTTTGCTCGCCTCCTCCAAGGTGTGCCATCCACACATAGAATAGAAGAGGAAATAGGACGAGCATTAATGCTAACGCATTAGGGAAATGTGAATTTGGAATTAAGAATAGCCAGAAAGCGCGAGGAATCAAGTGGATGAAAAGGAAACAAGAGGAGATGAGGCAGACTGGAGGAGAAGAGGGGTCAGGTGGTCTAGTGGAAAAATAAAAGTCAGCAAGGGCAAGAGGTCACGTGCTAAATCAAGAAGATAAGAGAAAGGCTATGCGGCTTCATGATAACAACTAGTATGCTATATTTGCAACGTCTTACATCGAACACGAGCCAAAGAAGAACATTTGACCAAGCAGTTGCTCTGCAGCACATGCAGATTCGAATCCAATTATCTTACCATTGCCATAACTAAGCTTGAATCTGCCTCCACGTTTATTTTTCATTACTCTGTTATTTGACTATTACCCGACCCGAGCCAAACATGCCGACCCGTTACACCCAGGTCGGCTTGTTCGGCCATGCGACCCGACCAAAAATCCTGGCTGAGCCGAAACCGTTCTCCTCATGTCCTCCAGTGTGAAATAGCGTTATAATGATTTGGAGGTCCAATCAAGCCTTAAGTTACTTTCGGTTTTCTTAGGTTAAAAACAAACTCGCGGGACCCGAGTCCTACAGGTTGTTGCAACTAACTGCGGTTGGTTCAAAGGAACCGGAAGAAAGCGCCGATTCTATGCTCTGGACTAGACTTCCCTAAAACCTTAGTTGACAATTTGAGTTTTTTTTTTTTTTTTTTTTTTTTTTTTTTCAAAATACCTTCACTTCATATGCAAGTTTACATTGGCCGAACAAGCACTAACGTTGCATGGGAAGGGCAAAAAAAACAAAGCACGGCAGTGTACGCACAGAGCATATGTAAGGTGATGTGAGCGAGTGCCAACATGCTTCTCGTAGAAGATCCAAGCAACTAACTGGTTAGGCACTTTCCATGTAGCCACTTTTTCCTCTGAATTTGTTCTTCCGAGGGCAGTCAGAAACGTTGGTGACAGACCGTAAAGATCAAGCTGTTTTGCTCCGGGGTAAGCAAACGTAAGTTTACTACCTAAACTCACGTACACGTCAACTCCCGTGAATGTGCCTTTTTAAGCCTGAAACCGACATGTTTGTTTTGCAATGGGTCTAGTATAAGGTTGCATGAATCCGCCTAATAGCATAATTCATAGGGTGGTGGTAAGTGGACGGGAGAGGAAAGCAACCTAGGCAGAGGGGTCAATTGAGAGGCCAGGAGAACAAATCAAGAGCCGTGGATGTTTGGAAACGGGACAACCCATTAAAGCAAAGGCCTTACAGGTATGTCAGGTTTGTAAGAACGGTGACTTCATCAGGGATTGAGCCACCAAGTTGATTTGGACCAAAAGTCCTGTTGAAATGCCACACAACAGACACGTACTAGATAGCAGGCCTGAACACTGTTTAGCATTGAGAGGATATGTTTGCCTGCCTCAGTATGGATGATATTGAAATACAGGATGGTATGAAGAGGAGAGGACATGGTAGGCATGAGCGTACGGGCAAACCTGGTTTGGCCTGAGTCGAACCACTTTGATTTCAGCTCACGCTGGCCGGACCTAGAGATCTGCGTCGTCAGGCTGGATCAGGCCAAACCGGTGAGGTTAGGTTTTGGTCGTATGATCAACGGTCAAAATGAGCTGATTCGCCCAAGCTGCGGCCCAACAGAAACCTCCACGGGCCCGGTTTGGACCCCTTCGCAGCAATTTTGGCGAGGGTCCCCTAAACTTGATGAAAAAAGTGCGGCAGCTTGTTTTCAAGCTCCAGCCTAGTCGTTTCTCACCAGCCACCTACCAAACTCTTACCGTCCTATAAGCGATACTTTCCACTAAGTGTGTGTGTAGCATATGCATATGTACTGTTACCTTCTACATCGAGCTCGATTTTGAGTTCTTAGGGTCAGTTAATCCGAGTTTTCAACGTGGCACTCAGTGCTTTTTAGGCTTCCACTGGTAAAGAGTTTTCTGTGCTAATGGCGCCAAACCGCCAAAGAAGAGCAGGCGGGCCCTGGTGTTGAAGGTCGTGGTGATAGGATTGGAGAGCGGTGGAGGCTGTGGTACTGGTGGTAGGTACTAGGTAGTTATGAGGCCCAGTCGCGCAGCTCCTAAAAGGCCGCACGACGGTGTTTCCTAGGGCATGCGATTTTCTACTGATATTCTTCTTACTAATGTCTCCTGGTGGCTGAAGTCAGAATATTCACGCCTAACTGATATTTTTCCTACTAATGCAACTACGTAATTTCTTTCTAGCTCCCTATCGAAGGGTTCACGGATTGGTTTCCCCACACAAGTTGCCAAACCATTCCAGATCGGGTTGGGAACAACAAAATCGGGTCAGGCCAATACTCCTCCCAATTATTCATTTTCGGCCCGATTTCAGGTCGGGCATTTCACGTACCCGGGTCAACCCGACTTGGTTGGGCATACCCAACCCGAGCCGGCCAGCTCAGTGTTTAAGAAAGGTCGACCCGGCTCGGGCAAAATCCTGGGTCGGGTCGGGCCTGACCGGGTAGGCATGAGCATATTTTCGAACACCAAACACGTTCGGGTCGAACATGTTCGAAACGAACATGTTTGAGGGTTTTTTTTTGGAAATAATGTTCGCCCGAACATGTTCGAGGTTCGACCCGAACATGTTTGGTGTTCGGAATGTTCTAAGGGGAAATTTCTGAACACCAAACATGTTCGGGAAGTTTCCGTGCTTTTCCGAACATTAGATGTTCGGAAAAAACCAGCGCGACAAATGTCGCGCTGATTGGATGTATTTCCTACGGAAAGCTCAGATTGAAGTCATTTCGACCTCGATCTACCTTTCTAGGTGAAGTACAGAGGAGTAAGGATTAGTAGGCTCATGTGATGTCCAATTCAGCCCAACTTAACGGTTCTTGATGGTAACTTGGGTTAAATAGTCGCTAGTTAGTCGCTTTTTAAGTAACTTAAGGTTTCACAGGATGATCGGTTAACGACTCCAGTGCTAAAAAAACAGATACCGTTGGGTGTTGAAGTCCTACACTATCGTGGTGAAATCTGTTTAGTGTCAGAATCTGCCAAGTCCACATTTTCAAACATCAAACATGTTCGAGATTGACCGAACATGTAGATGTTCGGCAAACCTAAAGACGTTTGCCCACCTAAACCAAACACCGAACACTGAAAATCTGAAAATAATGTTCGGCCGAACCAAACATGTTCGGTTCGGTTAAGATAGATGTTCGGGGACGTTCGGGCAAACACGTTTGATGTTCGCTCGTTGCTCATGCCTATGACCGGGTACTTTGCTCACGCCTAGTGGTAGGGATCGGAGAGTGGTGGAGGGCGTGGTAGTGGTGGTAGGGAGTAGAGAGTGGTGGAGGGCGTGGTAGTGGTGGTAGGGAGTAGAGAGTGGTGGAGGGCGTGGTAGTGGTGGTAGGGAGTAGAGAGTGGTGGAGGGCGTGGTAGTGGTGGTAGGGAGTAGAGAGTGGTGGAGGGCGTGGTAGTGGTGGTAGGGAGTAGAGAGTGGTGGAGGGCGGTAGTGGTGGTAGGGAGTAGAGAGTGGTGGAGGGCGTGGTAGTGGTGGTAGGGAGTAGAGAGTGGTGGAGGGCGTGGTAGTGATGGTAGGGAGTAGAGAGTGGTGGAGGAGGGCGGGTGCCTGTTGGCGGTGGCCCTCTGCCTTATTCCCTGGTGGCGGAATTGGCGGAGGGCCTAGTGCACAGGGAGGGGGGAGGGAGGGAAGGGGGAGGGGGGGAGGTTGGGGTTCTAGTGCAAACGTTAGGATTGGGGAGGTGTGTGCTGGTGAGGATGGTGATGGTTCGGAGGAGGAAGATTCGGAGGAGGAATAGCAAGCGACTCCGTTTTCACCAAGGGGGAGAGGGAGATGATATGTTGGCTAATACGCTCTGGGAGGGGGGGGGAGGGGGTGGGGGAATCAAACCCCCGACCCGGGCCGGCAGTAGTTCGACCCGAACGGCAAACGGCCCAGGCCCAGGACAAACGAGCTTCAGGCCGTTTTGGGGTTGGTTCGACAGCGTTCAACCCGGACCGACCCGGCTCGACCCTTGCTCATGCCTAGCCTAGCACATGGGAGAAACAAAGATTGTGCCACGAATGCAAAGGCTAGATGCACAAACGCCTTAAGAGAAGGAGAGTAGTACAGAGGAGGGACAATGAGGACACGAAAGTTGGAAATGGAGCAGCAAAGAAGACCATCGGATAGCCACAAAAAACACCACTGTGCCAAAAGGGTGTGTTTGTTAGGGGAGCCAATGCACCCCAGCTACACTGATCGTATCAAACTTGTTTTCCAACTCCTCCTTTCACCAAGGACGGGGCCCCGAGGACGAAAGCATATACATGCCATATGCTTCCCAGAGGGAGGTCGGGTATGCACCGGATACAGCAGGTGATTTGCAATTTGTGCTGTGCTTGTGCGACTGTTGAGCCAAGCGGCAAGGCTGCTTAACCGACTTGAAATCCCTCTGACCAAGAAGCGCTCAATGTGTATTGCGGTTTATCCCTCTGATCCAGAATAAAAGTAAAGCACAACATACCAGATGCACAGTGGCGAAGATTTCAGGAGGAAGAGTGCGGAGAAGGGGCAGATGTGGGAAGCACAAGCGGAGGACTTACATATATTCCAAGGCCGTGAGCTTGCTTATTTCGCTGGGAATTGACCCTCTGAACTGATTGAATCCCAAGCCTCTGTGTTGAGAGTTCACATTTGCGTGGAACGAGCTTTAGATACAAGTACGACGGCAACATAGTGGCCAGTGCTTCTGAAAGTGCGATGATGGCAGGTGCTGCAGGAGTGGGAATAGAGAAGGCGCCAAGAGATGAGAGAAACGAGAAAGAAAGCCTCCTGGGATGAACGGACAATAAAAAAGGAAGGTACACAAAAATTATGACGAATACAGATGACAGGATGAGGCTAGGAATGAGCAACAGATGGACCTGACCCCACCCGGCCTGATTTCGCTCAGGCTGGGTTGGGTTGGACCTCAGGTTTTGCCCGAACCGATTCGGCCCGGCCTTAACGGACTTGGGTTGGTAGACCCAGGTAGACCCGCTGCCCCTGCAGAACCAGTATTTCCATCAGGACGGGTCGGATCCGGTCGACCTGGTTGGGTCGAGCACTCCAGAGGTGGGGCCCGGCCTGGCCAAAACATGTGCCTTACATCCAATAAATGGGTCAGGAGAGACCTTAGTTTGGTTGGCAACAAAGAGTATACAGGTGGTGCATAGAAAGGAGAGCACAACAGATCAGAGGTCTTACAGCTTCACCAGGTTAGTAAGCATGCCAATTGCAGTGGGGATTGTGCCTGAGAGCTCATTAGATTCAAAACGGCTGTCATGACGATGAGGCATACATGAAGAAACAAAAACAAAAAACAATTGGGTGGAAAAAGACCACCTTATTTTCAGTCAAAGGTCCAACAATCCGCTCACAGCAGCATAGTAGATAACGACGCGTTCTATTTTCCTAACAAAGGAACGTAATTTTTCCCGAAAAATGTACTGTAGTACATTATCATAGCAAAGGGAGAAACAACAACAAAGTTTGTTTTCTTAGACAATCAGTTGTTTTCGTGGCCAGCCCGGGCCTGCCAAAAATACCTGGCCCTTGGCCATACAACCATTTGCAGGCCAGGGTCAGGCCCGGCTGGGCCGGGGTCGGCCCGAACCAGGCCGGTCCCGGCCCAAGGTGTGGACACCCAAGGAGGGCCGCGCGAGCTGATAGGAGAAGGCGCAAGGAGTAACGTTGAAGTGAGAGGCGAGAACATAGGTGCAAATAAGAGAAGAATGCACAAGTTATGACTAGATTATTTGTTAAGTGCTATATACTATTCTATGTTGGGTGCAAAATATTATTTTTGCACTGCAACCAGCCGCCTGCATGATGTTATGCATTTTGTGTATGTTCTGTGTGCATTCGTTTTCGCATTTCGTTTCATGTGCTGTTGCTGTGGGATCATGATCGGTCGTGACGGATCATGACGAGTCATGTTCGTTCATGTCGGCTCATGTTCGTTCATGTCGGCTCATGTCCGCTCATGTTTGTTTTCATCGACGAACATGTGCGTTCATGAATATTCTGTGTTTCATGAATGTTCTGTGTTTCATGAATGTCGAATTGTTTCATGAGTGCTGTTGAGAGTGTCGAGTGTGTTGAGTTAGGGGCTCGATTGTTTGACCAGCCCCGTTGACCATTTCGCGCTGGTCAATGAAAAAGTGCGCGAAGTCAGGACCCGCGCGTGGGGTCCTGACACGCGCGTGTGGTCGTGCAGGGCCCACGCGTGTGTCGCCACTGTTTCGATCGTGCACAGTGCGCACGATCGATACAGGACGGAGCGACATGATCGCTCCGTCACGCGCAGGACAACGCACGATCGCGTCAGCGATCGTCTTGTCCTGCACGACCGAGAAATATCTCGGTCGTGATGAGGGGCACGTGGGGCACGTGGGGCACGCGAGACTTCGCAGTTGACTAACGGAATTTTCGCGCTGACTCGGCGAGCAAGAAAATTCGCCAGAAAGTCGCGCTGCTTTGCGTCATCATTTCGACAGAGGTACAAAACGGTAAAATCCGTTTGTAACTGAAAAACGGAAATCTCACACGGGCGTTCATGATCGCACACGAGTAAACATGAATGTTCGCGAGGAGAGTCAGCAGGAGAATTTGGCAGCAGTGCAGGTTGAAGACAGTTATTCTACAGCGGCAAATCAAGCCAAATTCTGAAGCAGTTTTACAACCGTTTTTCAATGACAGCAAAGCGAAGACCTGGACGACAGTTAGACAACTGTTTTGTGTGTTTTCCTTTGTGTACCTAGGACCTCTCTTATATGTGTGCTTGTATTTGCTTTCATTAACAATGCTTTCATAATTTCAAACTTACAATCTACTACTGCGCATTGACGAGAGTAGACACACACCGAAGTACTGCCGAAACTCTGCTTAACCAGAACACTCACTCTACAAGCTAAGCTTGGCATAACTACTCACTTGGTTCACAAGTGATGTTAAGTGTTGCCTAGTTTATGTTTGTGGCACTGAGTTAATCGCTTCCGCATAGTAATTAGGCTTAACATTCTATACATGGGCAAAAGGTCGAGTTTTACTTGACTCGTTTTGACGAGTTTTTTGTCAACACACAAGTCGAGGAAAACTCGCCGAGTGTTTTGTGCCACAAAGCCAACTCGAAACTCGACCATATTACCGAGTTTTCTCACCACTCGTACGAGTTCAAAGAAAACTCGTCTGAGTCAAGTACAATTCGACTCGTTGTTAAACACCCCCCTTACCCACCACCCCCCGAAACCAGCTAAGTGAGAGGAAATGCCGTGCAGATCTAGCGGCGGAATGATAGGTGCGGGCAGATCTGGCGTCGGAATGCTAGATACGGGCAGATCTGGCGGCGAAATGCTAGCTAGTGAATAAAACTCGTGAATTTTGAAAAAAATTGCTTGGTAGCCGAGTTTTTCACGAGCTTTTTTTAACTCGCAAGCAAAACTCGACTCGAGCAACCGATTTTTTTAGACAAAAACACCAACTCAAAACTCAAGCTTTTCGAGTCCCTCGAATGAGTCGAGGAAAAACTCGACTCGTTTGACCATCTATATACTATTCGGAAGCGATTATACACTTAGCTACAAACTGAAACTTAGCTGTCTAACCCCACTTGAACCCCTCCGAGTGTGAAAACTTGCCACACCAAGGGCATACAAATTACAAGTGAGTGACAAGCTTTACTCAGCTTGTAGAATGAGTGAAGTAGTAGTCGAGCAGCATTTTGGCAGCATCATCATCATGTTTTAACACTCGTCAATACGAAGTAGTAAAATTCAGACTTTGAAAAAGCGCGAAAGCACTGTTCTTTTCTCGATAAGTACAGACACATAGTTATATAAAATCAAACAAAGGCAAAACGGTTGTTTAACGAAATTGTAGGACTTCGCGAAGCTGTTTTTCAAAATGTTTGCTTCTATTTTTTAATATTTGACTTGATCCACCTCTTGTTAAATATTGTTTTCAACATTCCCTTCAAACAAACGCCTTCGCTGACTTCTCAAAAGAGCACTTATGAGTTTCCATGTGACTCTCATGAGCCTCATACGAGCATGTAGTTATAGAGCTGACTTTTCCGTTAAAAAACGGAAATAACCGACTTACCTGTGACGAAATAATCACGCAAAGAAGTGTGACTTTCGAGCAAAAATCCCTGCTCGTCAGTGCGGTCAACTGTAATTCCGAGCACCCTCGTGCCACACGCCACGACCGAGATATTTCTCGGTCGTGCTGTACAGTGTGATTGCGACAGCAATCATGCGCTGTACAACGCAGGGCAGAACGATCATGTCGACCTGTCGTGTTGCGACCGTGCGCACTGTGGGGCCCCACACACACGTTAGGACCCCACGTGCGGTTTCTGACTTTCGCGCTTTACCATTAGCCAGCGCGAAAGTCAACTGGCCTGGCCCCCCCAGTCAAACAATCGAGCCCCACGGAACACCCCACGCTCGCCATGGGAGCCCAATGAGCCTCGCATGAAACATTCGAGGCTCATATGATACCCGCGTTTGAGAGGTTCATGAGAGCTTCATGACAGCCATGAACACACAACAGATAATGCACTAACACAAAATGTGACAATGCAAAACAGAACACACAAAATGCAAGGTCAAATACGCACAGGACGCACAGAAAATGAAAAATGAAATGAAAGCGGCTCGTTGACGTGCAAAAGGAGTGGGTTTTATTGAAGTGTATAGGAGATGAGAGGCCTTACAGAAAATTCAGCTTTGTGAGGGTGAAGAGTTCGGTTGGGAGTGAGCCGGAGATCGAACCAAGAAAAAAATCGCTGTGATGACACACAAATCGGGCATTTGATAATGGCATAGGCTCAACTTCTAATTCGCTGGCAATCAACAGTTGGTATGACAAACTACTTCGTGAAGCACTGTGTGTATGCATTTTCTAGCTGCAGAAGCACAATGGATGACAATGGGCATTTTCCATGGAATGTGCCCGGGCATAGCAAGGGATATGGGGAAGCAAGGTTAACCTCTTTGGTCCACACAGGCATGCAAACCACGCGATGAGTAAGAGGAACAAAGGACAAGGGAAGAAGGACATTGCGTTTGACAATGGCACACAAACATCAACTACCTTGTGCCGTACCTTTTACCTCTTAGTTCCGTTCTCACTCTTTCTGTTAGCTTGCTCGTAAGTCACCACCCCTAGTTGCACAACCCCAAAGCACAGTTGCCCTCGACACATTCATCCTCCCTCCTACCGCATTCCAACCCATGTCCTCCACTCCACGTGTCATTGCTTCTCTCCGCACCTTGCAGGCCAGCAGTTAAACAAGGCTGGGAGGACGTACAGGTGACTGAGCTCTCTCAAGTTGCCGATGGAAGTCGGAATAGACCCTTGTGCATTATCGTTGTACACTATACCTCTGCACCCAAACATGTCACCAAATCAGGACTAAAAAACAGTCAATTTTTCAAATGGAACTCGTCCCTGTCGTGTCCTAGAAATCCCAAAGCTTCCTTCGTACTATACTATGGCCGTTGTGCCGTGGGGGGAAATATGACAATTCTCACATTTTCACAATCATGCCGCTCAAGTCGCATACGATGCCACTAGCAGAGGACTCATCCGAGGAGTCTTCTGAGACAGAGCACTTGGGATTCAAGCCACTCCAACCATCAAAAGTCTTATTCCATGTCGTCTGGCAGTCCTGCAGAAATTGCGCTGCAGATTGGTTGGGAGGGAGGCAGGGGGAAATGAACGGAGGAAAAAAGTGTGGGGAGGGTGCCACCCTAAATGTCACTGACCCAAACCTCACCCAAAGCTCACTTTGACCCTAGCCTGACTCGAACCTTGCCCACATCTGTCCCAGAGGACACTTTAAGGTCACATGGGGAAACATGGGTACATTTGGGTCAGCGAGTTTTTAGACCCAAAAATGACCTCACCCAAACCTGACCCGAATATGGCCCAGGGAGTCCAGTAAGTTTGCGATCGAGGGGCCCGGGTTCGATTCTCGCCTGCAGCATAATATACTGATCATTTTTTTTTTTTTTTTTTTTTTTTTTGGTATTGAAAGTATACATCACAAACATAAATGCATACTAGTCAATAGCGGTCGTAACCGTGCGTGAGTGAGCAGAGGCTGTCTGCTCAGCAAAGGCCCTAGGGTGGGTTGTAAACTGTCCTTGGATTGGTCCAGATGGACTCGAAACTTCTGGTCCACACCCACTTCTTATCACTTGCCAGCCGTATCCTGCCCAGCATCCTTTGTTCCTCCAATAGCCCTTTGAGAAAGCTGCCAGCCTGTGCCGAGTCCTTCCGCTTCTGCCACGCTGTCGAGCGTGCTTTCGTGTAAACCCTCGCATGTTGGCGAAAAGCCAACAGGACTCTTCTCAGGACTCGGCGCGCACGGAATTTGCGCCCCCGAAAAACTGCCTCGCATCTTTCCAGCCAGATTTGATGTAGCGTTATCGCGATGATCGTTGCCTCGGGGAAAGCTGTGCAGGTCCCCGCCTTGTGAAAGAGGAGATCTTCCAGCGAGTTCGTGGTGCGGAGAGGGTTCAACATGCGGAGGGCCCGCTTCAGCGCAATGATCACACTCTGGATCTTCGGGCAGGCGAAGAGGCAATGCTCCAATGTCTCCACGTTTTTACAGTGCGGACACACAGGCTTGTCACTTAGAAAGGCCAGCCTTTCACCCACTTGAAGGTTGAAATTGTACACCCTCGTGAGAACATCTCTTGGTCTGCTTGGGGTGACGAGTGATTCCCTGATGCCCAATTTTTTTTTCCAGTTGATCGATCCACTCCACCTGCCAGCCCAACGCAGCATACGATGCGACTGCCCGCTCCTCCCTTTCCAAAAACTCCGCATCTGCTTCAGCGGGATGACCCCCCCTTTCTCCAGGATTGGGATGCGCGGAAGTGCTGTTCCGCTTGGCAGCCCCTGGTCGGTCGTCGTGCAAGGGGTCAGCAGCTCTTCCCTCCATTCTGCTGGTGCAGCTGCGAGAGCTCTGAGTGCGAGCCTAGCGGGTCCCTTACCCCCCAATTCCTCTGTGAGTTCCGCCATGGTTTTCGCCCTATGGCCGCCATCGAGCTGCTGCACCACCAGGTCACCCAGCGTCCAGTCCCATAGCTGCTCTGCAGCCTTCTGTCCGCCCACCGGTGCTGTTACCCCTACCATGATTGCCCGATTGAACACGATTCTCTCCTTTGCAATCTCCTCTCTAGTCACTTCCACCGTTCTAACGCTGAGGGGCGATTTCATGAAGAGCTCACATGTCTGCCTCCACCGCTGGCTTTTCCCCTCCCAGTTCCTCAAGAGGTGGTCATGCGCCGTGAAAGTATCAAGTCCCATGGGGAGGTCAGCTGCTCGCACCATCAGCTCCTTCTTGAGCTGATCCGTCTCCGTCATCATCAGGCCGACACGTCTGGCCGCCAGACAGGCTAACACGATGCTCGGGTCCTGCACACCCAGCCCGCCATCTTGTCTCGGAGTGTAAAGCAGCTCCGTGCTCCAGAGTAGAAATACTCGTTCTGTCGTCGCCTTGTTGCCGGAAACGAAATTATGAATCAACTTCTCCACTTCCCTCCATACTTTTGCAGGTGGCGGGTACACTTGCGCCTGGAAAGTCATCACTGGCTGAATGTAGCAGTTGGCCACCGAGCCCCGAGCTTTCTCTGTGAGGAATTTTTGTCTCCATAACCCCAACCTTTTCTTAATCTCCTCCAGTGCCTTCTCCCAGGTTGGGAGGCCGCTCCCATCAGGTGTGACCCAGACTCCCAGCAGCCGCTCAGCGTCACTCGGTTTCGCCCACTTGAAGGCACCACCTTCGTCTTTCCCCAGATTGTCTCCCAACGGTAAGATGATTGATTTCGCTTTGTTTGTCGCCAGGCCTGATTGTTGCTCGAAGGTATCCAGTATAACCTCTGCTTCCGCGATCTGCTCCTTTCCTTGCAGAGCGAGGGTCGTGTCGTCTGCGTAACCCATATACGCCAGACGCTGACCCGCAATGTCCAACCCCAGCCGCTCGCACTCCACCTTCTGCACCAAGGGTTCCACCGCGCAGAGGAAGAGGTAAGGGGCAAGAGGGCACCCTTGCCTCACCCCAGACACCACGTCAATTCCTGCTCCCATCCAGCCGTTGACCAGCATTCTCGTCGTTGTGCCTGTGTGCAGACCTCTGATCCAGGCTACCAGCCTGGGAGGGAAACCCATGCGGTCGAGCACGTGGAAGATAAAGCCTCTCGACACCGAGTCGAAGGCTTTTTGGAAATCCACGAGAAGCAGATACCAATCTTCTTTGCCGTTTTTTGCCGCGTCAATGATGTCAGCTACCAGCGCCACGCCATCGGCAAGCCGTCTGCCCGGAATGAAGCCATATTGCTCCGGTGAGATCACGCGGTGGAGCACCTTCTTAATCCGTTCCGCAATCACTTTTGCCAGAATCTTGTAGGTGAAGGTCAGCAGGGTGATTGGCCGATAGTTGCACAACTGATCCTTGTCTCCCTTTTTGTGCAGGAGTATGGTCACCGCCTCATTGACTTTCCCCGGTAGTTCCGCCGAAGTTGTGAAGTCTCTGACTAGGGTCATGAAGCACCCGCCCAGCAAATCCCAGTTTGCTTCAAACAGCTCCTTCGGCAGACCATCCCCTCCTGGCGACTTGTTCTTTGCCAAGGAAGCGAAAGCGGCCTGCACTTCCGCTTCAGTCCAGTCTGCATCCAGCCCGATCTTGTCCCCCTCATGCAGAGTCCTGTCAGGCACCGGTGACCACTCTCGGAAGTCCAGCCTCCTGTCCCTCCCGAAGATGTCACGGAAGAAATTTGACGCTGCAGTCAGGATGTTCTGTGAGTCCGTTACCGTTGTGCCAGCCACCTTCACTTCCGTGATGTGAGTTCTACCCTTCCTCGCCTTGACGAGCGCCGACAGCTGTTTAGACGAGACCTCGCCAGTGACTTCCCAATCCAGACCCGCCATGAGATGGAGTCTGTCCTGCTGCCATGTAAGATATTCTTTCAGCATCGCCTCCTTGCCGTCCAGAAGAGCTCTACACCGAGCACAGTTGGGGTTCCCCAGCACCTCCTGCCTCAGTGCTGCAACAGCTGACACCAGGTGCGTGTAAGTTGCCCTCACCCTCTTCTTCTCCTGCCTTGTGTATGCTCTGAGCCGGGCGGAGAGGCGCGCGACCAGCAGTTCGAAACCTTTCCCATCCATCACCGGAGATTTTTGCAGCACCTCCTCAATGATCCGCCTGACGCCAGGCCGTTGCGACATTGACGCCTCTAAGCGCCACAGCCCCGGTCCGGTTTTTGCCTTGTCATCTACTTTAAGAGCTACCTGAATCGCGAAGCCGTGGTCAGAGATCGGCTCTTTTGGTGAGATGTGTGCAGCATCAAACAGGAACGGAAGAAGCGACATGGATACAAGCGCACGATCTATTCTGGAGCTGGCACCTGCTGCTGCTGCATAAAAGGTATATTCACGGCTACCTGGGTAGAGTGTGCGGAAAGCGTCTGATACCTGGAAAGCACTACAGCGACTGTAAAGGCGGTCATTTTCGGCGGCTGAACCTTTACCCGACGTCTTGTCTAGTGTTGGGTCTTCTATGATGTTGAGATCACCTATGATAAGGAGGTGAGAGGTGCTAGGGATTTGGTCTAAGAGCGGACCTAGGATGTTGAGGATGAAAGGCGTCCTGGCTGTGGGGCTGGAAGGGAAATATACCGCGAGCAGTGTGAGATGGATACCGGCTCCACTGACTACCGTATGGATAATCCTACCGCAGGGGTGAATCTTAATGTCTGCAAAGGTAAGGGCTGGGTTTCTACAGAGGATGGCAATATACTGATCATATGATATGACATCCCTGTGGGGCTTTAGGGGTGTGGGTTGACGGATATGGGGAAGGGGAAGGAGGAAACGGGGAGAGGGTTGACGGATATGGGGGTGATGTTGGGTGAGGGTCACACGTCATCCCCAAAATTGGTTCGAAGATCCCTACCCCCAATTAGGGCATGCTTTCCTGCAGGCTACCCCGCTGAGGCTCCATAGCAGTTCCTTGGTAACCTCCGCTAAGTCACATTCGTTGTGACCTTGAGATTACCCACACGGAACGGATGCGGTGGTTGCTTGAAGAATGGCGGCAACGTTCAGCACACGTCTGATGACATCAGCAAGAAGTGTGGCTCCGGATTGCAGCCGCGAGGCTGGAAAATCCCCACAGGTTCTTTCAAGAATTTCTAAAACGTCCCGAAAGAGTCTTTCGTCAAAACCGGGGCTCGAAATGACCGTTATTTAGCTTGAATCTGAATTATCCAAAATGTGTCCCAAAAGAAATTTACAGCATCACATCCGTGATTGCAACGGGCTGGGCTTCAAGGCGCGGCGTCTCACCCTGCGACGTCTGCATTGGCACGGCGCGGA